TCCCCTGAGTGGATGACCGACCATGTACTCAGCCACACCAGTGTTTTCACCACCTCTATCTCCACGAACACGACTTGGAAGACCACTGTGACGAACAGCAGTAGAAAAGAGGTCTAACACTGTATCAGCTCTATTGTTATCTGCCACCTTTAGGTACATGATTCGATGAGAAAATCCATCAACACAGCCGTGAATAACGAATCTCCACCTACAAAATAATTTAGAATGTACATTTGGCTGGTATGTGTATTTAGTAAAAAATTGCTTGCTCAAAATAAAGCACATCAAAAGTTAAAACTAAACTATTAACATTAAAATTATTTTGCTAAATGAAATAAATCATTTAAAAGTTACCTTATTAATTTGTGGTTACCATCTATGTGCCACAAAGAGAGAGGGGAGGGTACTCTGTATTGCCGTCTGTTAATAACACGGAGGCGTCTCATGATGCACCCTTCTGGATCAATGCGTCTCTGCGCCTCCCGAATTCTTATTTGTTGTACTCTTATGCCACGAGCCAGCAAATGTCCTTGCATTTGGACATTGCCACACAAAGGAAATGCATTCTGAATTGAATACACTATGATATCAAGATCACCATCAGAAATGTCTGAATATTGCATGTGAACAGACAAAGAGAATTCGTTCATCCTTCTGTATACTGTTCTCTGTGACACACCAAGCATATCTGAGATTTGTCGAATGGTGAATCTATTCTCTAACAGATATGAAAGCTGTTCATAACTGATGTCAAATCTTGGTCTACCTAACCTTCCTAACAGGACAGGAGGTTGATCTTGTGACATATTGTTTTGGTTGCTGTCATCTTCAAGTGAAGCAATGATTCTCATTGCACTTGCCAACAATTGTAAAACGTCAGAGCTACCATACGTGTTATTCTCTAATAGTTGTTGGGCGAGTATGTCCCGCTGTACTAACTCAAGAGACAGTTTGTAACAGTCTAAAACGTCTAGAGGAGGTGTCCTTCCATCACTGTATATTTCTAAATCTGTAGCAATTCTGACAAGACTCGAGATTGCCCACGTGGAAGTCATTTTGCACTATGCCACACCCCTTTATTGGGGCGAGCATAAGCGAGCCCCACTCAGGCGAAGTCTCCCTCCCTCCCTCCCTCCCTCCCTCCCCACGGGTGTTTCAAATGAATTATTCTTGGACATTTAGTTTGCGCAGAGAAATTTTGAAATTTTATGGTTGCCATGGTGACATTGTGCATAACAACCTTCTAAATTGATTTTTTACTGTCTTGTGGTGGAGCTACAGGGTCAAAGCGGAGTCTATTTGTTTTAGCAAAACCAGAGCTTCAAGTAGCTCTTTGTTCCATGTTACTACGACTTTCTGGTCAAAAGTTATGGATCATAAAGGGTGGAACTTACACATGAGTCTTTTAGCTAACTGAAGGTTTTCTCTGAAGTAAGGAACTACTCATAAGGTAGCCTTATGTAACCCCTTTTCAAGTAGACTGTTGCTGTACTGCCACGTTTTTGTCTGTTACCATACCAGAGCAAACAGTATAATGGTATGGGGCCACCTGGAGCTAAAGGTATTTTATGGACATGTACTTAAGAGAGGGGCTTTTGCCTTTCTTTTCTTTAATTCAGAGTAAAGAGTGACATTAAGAGGTTGAATGGGTAAATGGGATAGTTTAATAGATTTGACAGCTATATTACATGTACCGTATAGCCGGAAATTTTGGAGGGAGTAAAATTTGGCGAATTGCTAAATTTTGGTTATTGGCGGATTTTAATTTGGCGAATTAGTGGCCACGTGCCATTGAGCATGCGTATAAAGGCTCAAAATGGCGGTTTTTATTTTGGCGAATGAAACTCTATTCGCCAAATTTGCCAAATTTTTGTCCCTCCAAATTTTTGTGCTATACGGTATATAATTCTTCAGTGAGGTTTACTTATTTGAAAGTAAAGAAATCTGGGCTGTTATATACAAAGGTGACT